CGTGGGGTTCGGAGGGGGTGGGGGGGGGGGGGGGGTTCATGGTGGCAGGGCTGGTCCCCCATGTCTGTGTGTCTGTCCTGTCCTCCCCCCGCATCTGCCTGTCTGTCTGTCTGACCTCTCCTTACATCTGTCTGTCCCTCCACCCCCCACCCACATCTGACTCTCCCCCCTTCCCATTATTTGTCTGTCTGTCTCTCCAGCCCCGCTGCATCTCTGTCTGTCTGTCTGTCTCTCTCTGACTGCCCCCCCCGCATCTGTCTCTACAACCTGCACCTCCACATCTGTCTCTCTGTGACCCCCGCAACCGTTTGTCTGTCTGTCTGACCTCCCCTCACATCTGTCTGTCGCTCTGACCTCCCCTTCTAGCGGTTTCTCGCCAGCCTCTCACATCTGTGTCTGTCTCCCCACCCTCCCCCCGCATCTCTCTCTCCCACCCCCCCATATCTGTCTGTCTTGTCTATCTGTCCTCCCCTCACATCTGTCTGTCTCCACAACCTTCCGCCCCCACATCTGTCTTGTTGACCCACCCTGCCCCCATCTCTCTCTCTCTCCAACCAACCATCCCCCTATTTCTCTCTCTCTCTCTCTCTTTACTATTCACCCCCTCAATCCATCCCGCCCCCCGCCCTCGCCCAGGGCCGCCTAGGCCTGTTCCAGTGGCTAAGGCTGCCACCTAGTGGTAATTTTGATTTCGCTCAATAGGGGGGTGCTCTCTGGGGTGTCACTGCTGGCCCCAGGGTGGCACTAGGGAGCGCTGAGCTGCTGGAGACAGGGTGGCACTAGGGGGCGCTATGCTGCTGGCCCCAGGGTGGCACTAGGGGGCATTGAGCTGCTGGAGACAGGGTGGCACTAGGGGGCGCTATGCTGCTAGAGACAGGGTGGTCTCAGCTTGACTCTGGGACGGGAGTAGGGTCTAGTGGTTAGAGCTGGGGTTGGCTGGGAGCCAGGACTCCTGGGCTCTGTCTTGGCTCTAGAAGGGGAGTAGGATCTAGTGGTTAGAGCCGGGGGGGGGAGTTGGGGGGGAGCCAGGACTCCTGGGTTCTATTCCCAGCCCTGCCTGCTCCTCTGCTTCTCACCCTCCTGCGCATTCTCGCTCTCCCAGCGGGAGCATGTAGGAGGTGGAAAGAAACCCATCCAGCCGCGCTTGCATAACGGGGATTCCTCGGCGGGGCCCTGTGCCCAGCCCTCCTCCACAGC